GATTGCTTTGGTTTATTTTGTTTAACAGCATATCAACCTCAATGGGTTATTTAATGCCGACAACATTTTAGGATAGATTCGTATGAATACAATATGTATTCTTTGGTTTAGATTTTTTGGTTTATTTTGTTTAACAATATATCAACCTCAATGGGTTATTTAATGCCGACAACATTTTGGATAGATTCGTATGAATACAATATGTATTCTTTTGGTTTAGATTGGTTTGGTTTATTTTGTTTAACAGCATATCAACCTCAATGGGTTATTTAATGCCGAAGGATAGATTCGTATGAATACAATATGTATTCTTTTGGTTTTAGATTGCTTTGGTTTATTTTGTTTAACAACATATCAACCTCAATGGTTTTTAATGCCGACAACATTTTAAGGATTTCGTATGAATTTATGTATTCTTTGGTTTAGATTGGTTTGGTTTATTTTTTTAACAGCATATCAACCTCAATGGGTTATTTAATGTATTCTTTGGTTTATTGCTTGGGTTTATTTTGTTTAACAGCATATCAACCTCAATGTGTTATTTAATGCCGACAACATTTTTAGGATAGATTCGTATGAATACAATATGTATTCTTTCGTTTAGATTGGTTTGGTTTATTTTGTTTTACCTCAAAACAAACTCAATGGGTTATATAATGCTGACAATTTTTTTTATTGCTGGTAATATTTTTTTTTGTCAAAAATCTGTTTCTGGTAATACTTTTCCTTCAAAATTGTATTGCTGGTAATAATTAACTATTTGCCCATATCTGGGATCCTAACAGGTGCTGCCACCCCGGGTCAGGGTAGATCTGGGAACACCAGCAATTAAGAAGTGGTCCCACGCTCCTCAAAACCTCCTGATCAGAGGCCTTGCTGCTGGATGTAGTTTATCGTCTTACCCAGGACGTGGATGTAGTTTAACGTCTTACCCAAGACGAGCAGAAGCATTGGAGCAGGCTTTTTACGGGGGATCCTTTATCATAATGTGAAGTGGTGTCGTCAGTGGACCAGTCGAGGAAACTGACCTTCATCCTAAATATATCATAATAAGTAAGGTATGGCGGGAAATTCGGGGAAACATCCATTACGATCAAGCGATGATGATAGCTAATATGTCGTGTGGGCGCAGCTTTAGACGGAAAAACGACGCTTCTTAGGCACTAGAAAATTGCAATCTGTGGGAAAAGCAACGCGAAAACATTCCACTCTCTTTCTCGAGAAATTATGGCAATTCACATATAATAAAGAAACGGAATCAGCTGGAAAAGGAACGTGAAACTACTCCACTATCTTTCCTAATAAGTCATGGCAATTCACAGATTATAAAAAAAAATATCTATAGAAAAGGCAACGGAAAAACACTCCAACATCTTTTCCACGAACTCATGGTAATTCAAGGATAATAAAGAAAAGGAATCTGTGGAGAAGGCAACGGCAAACCACTCCACTGCCTTTCCCAAGAAGTCGTGGCAATTCACAGATAATAAAGAAAAGGAATCTGTAGAGAAGGCAACTGGTAACCACTCCATTGTCTTTCACAAGAAGTCATAGCCATTCACAGATAAGAAATCCTTTTACAACTGTGGGGGAACCACATGAATTACAACCGGAGCATCAATCGTGTGTCTACATACAGCAAGATAGACTAAAGGAGCTGGTTTGGAATTCAGAGCTTCTCTCTGTCAGGGAATCCAGTCTGCCCTGCTATTAACCCTTATCTGATGGAGAAGAGACGGATTCATATATTTCCATGGTAGGGTAAATATAATAGGAGTAGATAGGTTTGCCTATCGATCGACCGGTTCATACTCCTCCGGTGTCATTTGAAATGGGTTAAAGTCATATCCCTTGTTTCCAGTTCCTTCTAAAGTCTACTTCAATTCTATACTTCTAAACTCTCCGCCGAAATTCTGAAATATTATTTACTATATATTTTTCTCAATAGGATTAGATATGTTCGCCTATCGTCCGGTTCACACTCCTTCCCGATTTTTTGAACAGCAGTAGAGGTTTATCCATTGTGTTCCCTTTAAGATTGTATTTCCAGTTTCTTCTAAAATCTTTTCCATCCTCTTTACTCTGAATAAACTTGTGGCTTAGTGGCGTCATCGCCTTGCTTCTGATGAATTGATTAAAAAGTTATATCTTAGACAAAAATAGGTTTTCGTTGGATTTTGAAACCGATACGCCATCCCCACTTGCCGCGCAGGAAAACCGCTCCGCTACCCGAACATACACCTGCTGACAACGCCAATCCGCCGTGTAAGCGTGGAAGGCAAAGCGAGCGGACGTTAATACGTCGGTATGTAAGTTCATCGCTCCGACAATGTCCTCAACGAGCCGGAGATCGGTACGCACACACAGACACACGGAGCGGGCCGCTTTGAAAACAACGCGCGTGGCGTCGATTCTACGAAATGAGGCGCTCCGATAATGTCGTCGACGAAATATGGCTGAGTCGAGCTTAAGTAGACATTGGATAGCTGAAGAAAGAAAAGAGATCGCCACTACTCTTGGCCTACCCTACCCACTCCGACTACTCTTTCAGAAAATAATGGGTGGAGCCGAAATTGATGAAGAATAGTACGGAGGCATCAAATTCAAGTGAATATCGCCTCTATGGAAGTTATGGAAGTTCATGGCTCTCTATGACCTCCTGTTTCTTGCTCTCCTAAAGAACATAAGCTACAGTACTGTAAATCTGAAGGAGGCACGGGGGAGTAATGGATAGCGGCTCAGATTGAGGAATCGGAGAGCCGGGTTCGAATTTCAATCGAATCCATTACATTCACTTACGTGCTAATAAACACCCTATAACTTCTCCTCACAGCTAGCGGTAAATAGCAGGAAAGACCTTCGATGGCAACTGGTCTACTGCAAAGAAAGAAATGGCAACCTACTGCGTGAAAAAAATCTGCCTCGTCAGACATGTATCGAAAAATACATGATCGCCTAAACGTGTCACGCATGGTACATAACTTACTCAACATTACTCGTTGTTTTCATTTGTTTCTATATGACGTGTGAGTTTTAAATTCTCTAAGCCTTCTTTTCTCATTCTTCTGATGCCTTGATCTTGATCCCCGTCCTTCTCTTTATCCATCTCTGAAGCACCTCTCTTTACTCTTACTTTCATTTTCTGTAACCCCATGCCTGATAGTGCCACCCACTCCTTGCTTGGAATGAAAAAAAATATAACTTCCGTCTTTATCTTTCTTTGGGTATCTACTTATTCGAACTTGTTAAATAAGTTATTCTCTAATTCTCTCTGCCTTTTTTCATCTTCAAGATGCCCTGTGAGTGTTTGATTCTCTAGGGCTTCTTTCCTCGTCATGGGTGCCACTTACTCGCCCATCTTTGTCCTAATTTTCCCATCGATTCACTCAAAATCTTTACTTACGCTAGTCGCTTCTCTTGTCTACAATATTCCCTGTGAGTGTTAAATTCTCTTTGCCTTCTTCCCTCATTATGGCTGACACTAACACCAAATTACTGTAAAACTATATCATTGACATGAAAACTTGAGTTGTGTTCTTAAATAGATCGAGACTTTCATGTGGGTGTTGGCTGATTAGTCGATTTTCTTTTGCGGCATATCAACATCTGTGGAGGTTATTTAATGCCGAAATCTAAACATTTCGAACACAATTTTATGGCCTCAATTAAATATATCTTGAACACAATTGTATGCCTTCAACTACAGATAAAATGAATTGTTGGTCATTTTGCTATAAATATGTATTGTTAGTCATTTTACTGTAAAATGTATTGTTGTTCATTTTACTATAAAATATATTGTTGTTCATTTTACTGTAAAATGTATTGTTGGACATTTTACTATAAAATGTATTGTTGGACATTTTACTGTAAAATGTATTGTTGGTCATTTTACTGTAAAATGTATTGTTGGACATTTTACTGTAAAATGTATTGTTGGTCATTTTACTGTAAAATGTATTGTTGGTCATTTTACTATAAAATGTATTGTTGGACATTTTACTGTAAAATGTATTGTTGGTCATTTTACTGTAAAATGTATTGTTGGTCATTTTACTATAAAATGTATTGTTGGTCATTTTACTGTAAAATGTATTGTTGGTCATTTTACTGTAAAATGTATTGTTGGTCATTTTACTATAAAATGTATTGTTGGACATTTTACTGTAAAATGTATTGTTGGTCATTTTACTGTAAAATGTATTGTTGGTCATTTTACTATAAAATGTATTGTAAGGTCATTTACTGTAAAATGTATTGTTGGTCATTTACTGTAAAATGTATTGTTGGTCATTTACTATAAAATGTATTGTTGGACATTTTACTGTAAAATGTATTGTTGGTCATTTTACTGTAAAATGTATTGTTGGACATTTTACTATAAAATGTATTGTTGGTCATTTTACTATAAAATGTATTGTTGGTCATTTTACTGTAAAATGTATTGTTGGACATTTTACTATAAAATGTATTGTTGGTCATTTTACTATAAAATATATTGTTGGTCATTTTACTATAAAATGTATTGTTGGTCATTTTACTGTAAAATGTATTGTTGGACATTTTACTATAAAATGTATTGTTGGTCATTTTACTATAAAATGTATTGTTGGTCATTTTACTATAAAATGTATTGTTGGTCATTTTACTATAAAATGTATTGTTGGACATTTTACTGTAAAATGTATTGTTGGACATTTTACGATAAAATGTATTGTTGGACATTTTACTATAAAATGTATTGTTGGTCACTTTACTGTAAAATATATTGTTGGTCATTTTACTATAAAATGTATTGTTGGTCATTTTACTGTAAAATGTATTGTTGGTCATTTTACTATAAAATGTATTGTTGGACATTTTACTGTAAAATGTATTGTTGGTCATTTTACTGTAAAATCATCGAAATTAAGCAACGCCGAGCTGGTCAGTATTTAGATGAGTAACCGCTTGGGAATATCAGGTGCTTTAAGCTTTTGTGTGCGAGTGGTCTAAAGGGCTTACGGCCACACCACATTGAAACACCGGTTCTCTTACGATCACCGAAGATAAGCAACGCCGAGCCTGGTCAGTACCAAGATGCGTGACCACTTGGGAATACCATCTGCTTTAAGCTTGTGTGTACGAGTGGCCTAAAAGGTTTACGGCCATATCACATTGAAACATTGGATCCCTTACAATCATCGAAGTTAAGCAACATCGAGCTGGTCAGTATTTAGATGAGTAACTGATTGGGAATACCAGCTGCTTTAAGCTTGTGTGTGCTAGTGGTTTAAAGGTCTAATTGACACATCGCATTGAAAGACCCGTTCCCTTACGATCATCGAAGTTAAGCAACATCGAGCTGGTCAGTATTTAGATGAGTAACTGCTTGGGAATACCAGCTGCTTTAAGCTTGTGTGTGCTAGTGTTTTAAAGGTCTAATTGACACATCGCATTGAAAGACCCGTTCCCTTGCGATCATGGAAGTTAAGCAACGTCGAGCTTGTAAGTACCAAGATGAGTGACCTCTTGGGAATACCAGGTGCTTTAAGCTTGTGTGTGCGAGTGGTCTAAACGGCTTACAGCCATATCACATTTGAAACACAGGTTTCCTTACGATCACTGAAGTTAAGCAACGTCGAACCTAGTCAGTACCTAGATGAGTGAACGCTTGGGTGTACCAGGCGATGTAAGCATGTATGTAATACTGGTGATAAATAGCTTTTGTGCATCTACATGTTTGTGTGGACATAATAACTAGAGGAGGTGATATGTGTGTTTTAATTTTGTAGCTTTAAAGTTATATTTTGGAATACAGTTTGATTTCTTTAAGAAATATTAGGATATTATCTGGATGAATGTCTTGCAAGGGTACTTTTGTGTTGGTTATTTAATTGGTTGCCTCCGTTTCACGGCATATCAACACCTCTATGGATTATTTAATGCTAAAATGTAAATATTTTGGACACAATTTTATGGCTTCATCTAAATTTATCTTGAACGCAATGGTATGCCTTCAACTACAGATTACTTTTCCATAGCTGAATCCCTAACAAGTATTATCATCCCTGGCCAGAGTTAATGTAGGATCAACAGGAATTAACAGGTGGTTCCACGCTCCTCAAAACACCAGAAAACTTGCTGCTGGATGTAATTTATCGTCATACCCAGGAATTTGTGTGAATGCCAAAACTCGTTCAGGAATCTATAAACTGTCAGCACTATACAGCCGTTTTCTCAGATAAATGGTTAAAAATGAACGAGTGATGTCTCAGTGAAGATAATCCATATTGTGATCTGGCGCTACAGAATCACAAAACAAAAACTGTACCAAATAACAAAACTTATATCAGTTGAGGACTTTCAACAGCAGCAACAACTAAAATGGACAGCATGTATAATTTGAAGAGAAAATAGTTACAAAATCAAGACACTACTTCGATCAAACGGTTTGTGAGGACACCACCATCATTACTGAAATGAGCGATCAAAGCTATTGAACCGTCCTAGTAATGACGATAAACTACATCCCGCAGCAAGGTCTCTAATCGGAAGGTTTTGAGAAGCATGGAACCACTTCTTAATTGCTGTTGTTCCCAGTTCCAGCCTCTACCGAAGTGGTAGCACCTGTTAGGGTCCCAGCTACGGGCAAATAGTTAACCCCAAAACTGGCGTCAAAACACTATGAACGTATAAGAATAGAGTTTTATAGTAAAAAGTCCTAGCAATATATTTCTGGAAAAAATATTACCAACAATACATTTGACTCTCGTTAAAAACCCTCTTTAAAAATGTACGCCAATATAACCTGATATTCTACAAACTGATTTTCTTACAAAGAATATATAGTCTATTCATAAAAACTTATCCTAAAAATCATGACGACATTAAATAACACTTTCAGGATCATATATGCCGTAAAACAAATTAAAACAACACCAGACTCTCTACAAAACCTCTTTACAAAAGTGCTTCAATGAAACCTGATTTACAAACTGATTTTCTTACAAAGAATATATAGTCTATTCATAAAAACCTATCCTAAAAATCATGTCGACATTAAATAACACTTTCAGGATCATATATGCCGTAAAACAAATTAAAACAACACCAGACTCTCTACAAAACCTCTTTACAAAAGTGCTTCAATGAAACCTGATTTACAAACTGAATTTTCTTACAAAGAATATATAGTCTATTCATAAAAACCTATCCTAAAAATCATGACGACATTAAGTAACTCTTTCAGGATCATATATGCCGTAAAACAAATTAAAACAACACCAGACTCTCTACAAAACCTGCTTTACAAAAGTGCTTCAATGAAACCTGATTTACAAACTGAATTTTCTTACAAAGAATATATAGTCTATTCATAAAAACCTATCCTAAAAATCCTGACGACATTAAATAACTCTTTCAGGATCATATATGCCGTAAAACAAATTAAAACAACACCAGACTCTCTACAAAAACACTCCTTACAAAAATACGTCAATGAAACCTGATCTACTAACTGATTTCTTACAAAGAATATATAGTCTATTCATAAAAACCTGTCTTAAATATCATATCGTCATTAAATAACACATTGAGGTTGACATCCCGTCAAAAAAAAAAAATTAAGGAAACCAACAGCTACTGAACTTGAGAAACGTATTTTCCTGAAAAACTGTTTTCAGATAAATATTTTTATAAATTTCAATCTACAATGGCACTGTGTTGCTTGTTCAATGAATGCTGAATGTTTCCTCATAAGGAAACAGTTAATATTACCATTAGCATCTACAAAGTTGCAATACATAGACACGTAATTTCGAGTTGTCGTTTGATGTGAAAATCTTCACTAGCTTATCAATATGGTTAATATTCGCCCATTATCTAAAAAAGAGAATATATGTTGTATAAAATAAATGTTCACTACTTCCATTATTCGGACTATTGTACTCATCTTTGTCACCATACCTCATCTCAGAAATATAGAGAGATACTGAAGGACCGAAACGTTGTAATAAATATGGAGACAAAGATGAAGACAATAGTCCGAATAATGTAAATAGTGTACATAATACCTCATCTCAGAAATAGACAGATACTGAAAGGCCGAAACGTTGTAATAAATATGGCAACAAAGATGAGGACAATAGTCCGAATAATGTAAATAGTGTACATAATACCTCATCTCAGAAGTATAGACAGATATTAAAAGGCCGAAACGTTGTAATAAATATGGCGACAAAGATGAAGACAATAGTCCGAATAATGTAAATAGTGTACATAATACCTCATCTCAAGAATATAGACAGATACAAAATAAATGGTATTTCTTCATTATTACCTAACGAATTCATAGATTTATATATGTATAAGGTGCTACTCGCAAAATCTCGTTAAAACACGAAATGGTTTACCATAAAAATGTCATTTCTACAGAAATTGTTTTTTGCTGTTTTAGTTATTTGTTGTTTTCTTCCTCTCACATTTCTGTCAAATAAGCACCCCAAATCACGAATTTCATTTTTTTTAAATTTTAAGAGGCGTGTGACATTATTTAATATATATATATATATATATATATATATATATATATATATATTACATTATTGTCGTTTATTAAATATTAAATTACGTCATTTAGCATCTTCCTTTCATAAGGATTGGGTTAGTCCCTGGTATGGTTTTCAGGCTCCTTCCCTGAATATATATATATATATATAGATAGATAGATAGATAGATAGATAGATAGATAGATAAACCTAGTGAGCGGTTGCATTGAGCTCTTTTGTTAGTTGTTTCCTCGTACAGGGTTTTTTTTCTTTGAGCTTCAAACTTGTATCTGTACGATTTTTTTCGACAGACTTTCATGTTTCTAGCTCTTTCTTTTTTTTAAAACCTTTTTTCCTTCGAGATTGATTTGATTATTGGCAAATGAAAAATTCGAGGGTTTTTCGAAACGAGTATAGTTATCTATATCTGTATATATATATATATATATATATATATATATATATATATATATATGTGTGTGTGTGTGTGTGTGTGTGTGTGTGTGTGTGTGTGTGTGTGTGTGTGAAAAAGTGTATATAAATATAAATAAATATAAGTATGTATAATTATTTATATATTATATCATAGTAATTATTAAAAGCGCTCAATATCAGAGATAGAGCTAACATATTTGGTTGGATAGATGTGAGTTTGTGACCCTGGGTTTCACGCTTTAGCGATCGTTAGACAAACTGATTAATGTTTTAAAAAATTTGGGTTAATGTAGATTTGTGTATTGGTTGTTATTGTGTGGAAGTGGTGGGGAAATTTCGTCGTTTTGTCATTCATCGTACTAACGCAAACATCGATGTATGCAGACACATATACATACTTGGTCGTCCGTCAGGACTCATACACATATAAACATATGTAGGCAGTTTCGGCTATGACACATGTATGTATACGGGTTAATGTTATATCTATACATACGCATTTGTATGTTGAAATGTTGAAATTTAAACATTGGAAGTGTGGCGGAAATGTCTCGTTACTGTATACATGTCATATTAAGTGTTTTCCCGCTGAAAATATTTCCTCGCATGTATGTATATGCGTGTGGTGGGATTTGTAAAATTATGATAGGTAAAAATTATTATTATTTATATTTATTTTAAATTTTTTGAAAAAATGGGGGTTTATATGTTATATGTTTATATATGTATGAGTTTTTATATAATTTATCATTTGAAAAGAAAAAAAAATGTTAGATCATATGAGAAATTGTATAAAAAAACTAAATCAAAGCCCCTTGTCTGTCGTATTCAATGAAATGTGCATGAAAGAAGGATTACTGCCTAAGTACACAAATTTTATATACATATATATATATATATATATATACAAAATATATATCGTTTTGGTTCTCACCAGTCGAGATACAATTATATAGACCGAAACAAGGTTGCATCTTTACATATTTGTAGTGAGTAAATTGTTTTTTTGTCGTTATGAAAAATTATAATATATATATATATATATATATATATATATATATATATATATATATATATATATATATATGAAGAAATATAGTCTTAAGATGTGCTATATTTATGGAATAAAAGTGCTCATTATCAGAGATAGAGTGTGTAAATATAAAAGTGAACATAGAAGTCAACACTTAGAGGCGACAGGCTGTTTCTGTTTTGACTTCTATGTTCACATTTATATATCTATATCTATCTATATATATATATATATATATATATATATAAAATTTAGGAAAACTAATATTTTTACCTGTCTATATTTCTGAGATGAGGTATTATGTACACTATTTACATTACAGGAATATATACAGAGAAGTAGAAAGTGTTAGTACGAACATTCAGGTTTAGTAGTAATTGTCTGAACGCGACTCTGTTTCGGACTGCCTCTGACTCGACTGACTGACTCGCTCTGACTGATAGACTGACTCCTGATGAACTTCACTCCAGACTTCAGACTGAACAGTCACTCCCCCCCCCACGGGGACATCATGTGTCATAAGGCCGGTTTAACGTGTGATCTCCGAGCCCGTGGGATCTCCGAGCCCGTGGGCTCGGCCAAAAATATGCCCTTTGAACCCATATAAAAAGGTTCAGGGTCGGTTATCTATCTAGCTATGCCAGTCTTTTCATATCTATCTATCTATCTATCTATCTAT